TCGAAGAAAAGTTGATAAAGTTACCACTTCTGCTTGACCTAAATGCTTTGAGGCATCGGTCCCTTTGAACGAGATCCTTCATCAAAAAGTCATGTCGCCTTATTTCTTTCTTCATATCAATCTTTTATGTTCAGGAGTCAGCTGCACGGGGTTTTTGTCATAAGCAGGATATTTATTATTTACTTGCGAACCAACCTCGGAACGGAGAATTTTTTTGTTTGCTCTTGTGGTTATGGATTACAACAAAACGGCGAAGTAATGACTGTAATCCTGTTAAATATACAATACAATTTTATATTAGCGCCTGTGTATTTATATTACATAATTTTTAGTTTAATTAAAAATCATAAAGGAACGTTTTTCGTGGCGTATGTAATTATGTTGCTGTACAAAGGCAAGTGTAGTTTTTTTAATAAAAAACCCCTCTTCATAAATTTAATGTCTTGATTAGATTTTGAAGAAAGTTTTAATTAGATTTATTAAAAATAATATAAGTTCACTATGGAATAGTTACAAATTGTACGACAATGAACAGTACGTGTTCCGATAATTCTTTAGTTAGTAGATGTACATCGTAAAAGGTCGTAACCCCATATTTCTGTATATATAATTTTTCTTGATAGGCGAGTAGATGATCAGCCTTCTGTGCCTGACACACGTCACAATTTTTAATCTAAGGCATGCCGGTTTCCTCACAATGTTTTCCTTCACCTTGCGAGCGAGTGTTAAATGACCACATATAAGGATAGTACACAGTCGTGATTCAAACGCACTGCATTGTTGAGAGACCCAGGCTCAAGCCACTAGGCCATCTGCTCTAAATTAATATATCCGCGAAAATTCATGCAATTTTATTGTATTGTCTCTTATTCGAGTGTACATTTAAATTTAATACAGTTTTAACCACGTTAAATTACCTTTTATTATCCAGTAAATTCAAGTGATAATTGCAAATTATAATAATTATCCGATTTAAGTTTTAATTTCTTTATGTAATGGGTTTTCCGTTATGGTCAATATACTATTTCGTATTATTTTTTATATACATTAATATATATATATATAAAAGGCGTACCTGAGTTATGTACTATATAAGCCTCTAAGTTGAGGTAAAATGTTCGGATACAGAATAGTAGACATTGCTAAGAAATGTATTGCAGGCGCTTCTAAATTATATTTACTAACAAGTACAATAAATTTATAGCTACAATTAACGGACTGTATCGCATAATACATTGAGAATTTTTCACTTTTCCAGAAATTTTTTCACGCTTTTATTATAATTATTGAACAATGAAAAGGTATTATTTATAAACCGGCTCTGGTTTTGATAAATATGTCTAGGAACTAAAAAATACACAATACCACCTATCAATTGAACCAACTTCAAAATGGAATAACTTAACCACCTAAGGATGACTCCACGATGAGTTACTAGTCTATAAAGAAGTAAATAAATTGATGCAAGTGTCTGTAAAGTTAGAATTCGATTGTTACATTAACTCTAACTGTTACATAACTTTAAACTATTAACGTTTACATACATGTAAATAATTTGCATGAAAATGGTTAGTATTTTACGTAAGAAGCACTCACTGTAATTTATCATACAATTATTGTTTGCGTTTAATTCTATTACCGGATCCTGAATGCCACCGCAAGTACCCTTTCCGAAGAATCGTCCAGACATCTTCGAGTAATTGATTGAGGACTCACCTAAAAACATATTCCGACGAATTGAATTTTCTTAAAATCGGTTAGAAATTAGTAATAAAACAAATGCATTCATACCACAAAGTATAAATCGATTATAATATTTTTGTATTTCATTGGCTGGAGAACTAATACTCTATAATAGTCAACTATTATCGCCTTTATTCCGCCGTTACTCATGATTAATTTAAATTTCTAAGTAGATAGGTTCAATAACATTTTCGTTCGGGTTCAGTAAAGAATCTTAAAGTATCGTTCATCATCGTCACACCATTATATAAATCTTACTGCTTTCAATGAAGGGTCTACCATACTCTGTGGATATATCGTAACCCCTAATGCGCACAGCGAATAGCTCACATTAATAGTTTCTGTGGACTTTTACATTTTATCTTCCTTTGCTGTAATAACAAGTCTTAATTACGCATATACATATTTTGGGGTTTGAACGCATCATCTGAGGGTTTCGACTCGTAGGAACGCCGCTCGTCATATTCACATCCCTTAAAGGCTTTTTTGTACAGATATTAACCCGATTACCACATACCATTTATAATATATATAAGCCATAGATTTCATTAAAATTTACATGGCTCCGCAGTTATAATGATATTGCTAACATGTCATTGAATAAGTTCTTATTATAATTAATATCACTAATATTTATTTTTGATCAAATTTTAGCATATACGATTTTAATGTACTGTTCCTCTCCTATTTTAGCGTCAAACGATCAATAAACATTTTGTTACCGTTAATGAAAACATTACCGAGATTTAGACTTTACATTTGTTATATCATGTTAAGGTAAAAATAGTTTATTACTTGTTTTATGTGTTCCAAATCTCATAAATTCCATTCAAGAAGATAAGTAATATCCACATGACTAAGCAGTAGTTCGTCAGAGTTTCGGGGGCCTCTGGAATAAAGCCAAGAAATCTTTCGCTGGCTATTTTCGCGTCATATATACGAATGCCGTGACATCGGTCTAACTTATGCACTAAACTAGAAACTTCAAAAGGTATGTGTTATACCAGTTAATTTCAGTTTGGTTATAGATAATCGTAAACGTCTGAAATCATTTGTGAAATCCTAATTATTAATTCCTGCACTTATCCCGCTTGGTAAAGATTCATAAATGTAATAAAATTAAACGTAAATGATTTAGTGTTTTAGACGAAATTAAACCAATACCAGGATTAGTAGTATTAATAGAAATACTCATAGGTGAGACGTTTATATCGCAAACAGAGAGTGCGTACATAATACATACATTTTTGTTACATTCTTCAGTCAGAAACATCGTCACTGGTGAAAATAAAACAAAACACAATGTAAGAACATTTATTTCACACATTTACATCGTGATTTTGAACAATACAAAATATTACTAGGATTATTCGATTTACCCCTTAGGCCATTCACCCATTCATTGTTAAGAAATAATACCAAACCGAACAGCACGTAAGTAACTCTATTAAAGTGGTCTTTGACTAGCATTCATTATGCCCCTGTCTAGTTTTACATTTCTTTGTCGACGATTGTCGTTGCATGGATGCATGAATAAATTGTTTTTCATAGTGATTCGAACGATCTCAACTAACTGGTAGGTCAGGATCCTTTTCTCATAGAAAACACATAGTAAAAAGCGTGTTCTATGAAAGGGTGGAGTTGAGATCCGGGGTAAATCATTCATAAGCTCCGTTTTGTTTTCTATTCGGGTGTAATCGGCGTAGTGCTGGAATTGCTACTGACGGATACCTACTACGGATTATAGAGTGACAATGCCCGTTTTAATATCTATAATGTAGAAACATGAGTATAATTTGGAACATAAAATAAAAATGGTTACAATTATTATATGACTCAACTAAATTTCTATTTAAATACTTTAGTTATAAGATAAATATTTAAACGTTAATCTTGATACGTCTTATTTCTCAGAACTTTATGGATATATAAACCTAGCGATAAAGAATAGATTTTTGTGATGAGCACCTCATAAACATGTGAGTTCCTTAATATTATAACTTAATATATTTGTACAGAAAACTTTTTTTATTATAATCCTAAAAAATAAAATAACATTAAAAGTTGTATAAAATTTTGTAGTAATAAAATGTTATGGTTCATTTGTGTAAAAACAATAGCGTCAAATAGGTGGGGTTCAAGACATTGTGCCAGGGCTGCGCCCGCGCCGTTCACCCGAGACCGATGCGCATAATGAGATGCAGTGTTCCTCCAGATGTTCCACAGACGCGACCCAACGTTTTTGTCTTAGATTTTTTGCCTCAATGTCTCAACTATATATTTTTTCATAGATGATTCATTTCGACGAAAAGATCTTGAGTATCCATAGAAACTAAATTTAATATTTTATACAAAGCCTAATTTTAAGAAATACTATCCAAGTTCTCACATATTATTTCTTATTTTATTTTTTATATGATTGAAATTACATAATATTTAAACTGTGCAGTGAAAATAACTATTGAGTTGATATAAAAAATGTGGAGGATCAAAAAAGTTTATAGTTGAATATTATATTTCTTTTGTTCACGAGAAGCTAAATATAATCTTGTTTGCGAGACGATTTAGAAGCTGTGGACGTCGTCGACTCAAGTTTATTTATGTATTCATAATCTTTACGTACAACTTCAGACCGGTTTGAATAATTTTGAAAGATAAATTATCAGAATTAAATTTATTTTGGCTTCAATAAAATAATATTTTAAAATTTGTCTATGAAATTATAGAAATATCGATTTCCATGAAATGTAATTCCTACCTCCACCGTGATAAAATACACCATATAATCCTATATTAAATCACAATTATTCATATTAGTCTGATACACGTTGATAAAATCAGTCGAAACGCCGGCGCAGCTCCATACTTCTTTACATTCCATATGAATATAAGCACTATGGGAAGTAAGGAAGCACGGAACTAGCGCAAGGCTATAAGTATCTTCTTTCTTCTTTCTTGATTCACTTAAGCACATAGTAAGAATAACGATATATCACTTGCTATTAGGATGAGTAATACGCCATTTCTAGGTGGTTCCGATCACTCGTGACAGATACCGAAATATAAACCGTGGTGTCGATGAGCGACACAGCGTCAGGGAAGCTCACGGAACACTGGCGGCACACGCTGTGCGCAAGCGCAGACCAGCTCTAAAAATGGAGTCAACCGGCGGAGTTCGCTTACGACTCACGAGTACCATCCATTCCAAATTTGTATTTTCCCGAAATAGCCCGGCCGGCGGACGCCCATCGGATCGGTTACGAACGTGCACCGACCTGCAGCTTGCGGGGATTTGGGTGCACGGTGCGCCGCAGCCTATGGCTACCGGCCCACCATAGGACGTTATGTAAGGATACTGTAAACCGCGCCGCGTGACGACCGTATCGAAAATAAACGTGCACACAGAATCGGCGCCGGCGACGGTGCCACATGTGCGCGCTCCCGTCAGCGTTCCGAGGATCGCTCGCTGGAGGGGAGTCTATTATTAGTTGAACACCATCCACCACTGTCACCTCCCGCGGGGTAGTCAGGCTAAACATAGTTTACATCTCAAGATCTGGCTATTCATCGAGTTCAAAGACCCCCTGAAAGAATTTTTAAACTTGTGTTAAAAAGACGTCTTCTAAATAATTATCTTAATAGAATCTAAAATACACATGAAATGTATGCATTCACGCAGAAATAATATTACATAGAATAGCCTAAAAGCCGTAGGAATTCACACTGCTTACCATAAAATGTACGTTCCCTCAGTCAATAAAAGAATTTGGCAAACTTTCGTAGACAAACAAGTGGGACGACAGCCAACTCATCTTTTGTCTGCTCGAAAGCATAGTTTTGTTAGCATTTTTATATCGCCATGTTTCAAAGAAGTAAACAGGAAACATTAATCCTATGTCAAAAATGTTGTTGTAATTTCTGATTCTGCGACTATGACAGCTATCAATTTTCGATAAAAATGCAGTATTAAATCTAGAAATTCGACGTGAAACTTTTGAACCGTAAACTGTTATTATTTCTTTCACGTATTTCAGTACAAAAGGGAATACTTTCCTTTGAATTTAACGACGTTTTACGTGATCAGCTAAGATGCGCTAGTGGGTAAAGAATCGTGATGCTGTCCGCAGTATGAAAGACCAAAGAGCGCCTGTTGAATATTAATGTGACATTGTTATTGGCCACAGTTGCCCGCTGTTGCCCCAATCGCACATTTCCATAACTTACTATTCGAGATCTGCCGGGAATCAGCTCGCTTTTGTACGAATATGATCGCTGAAATAACCGCGCACGTTAATGCTCTTTTTAATGTGTTAGATCGTTTGTTGTGAATATATCATGGCGTAAACACAACATAAAACTAAATTGTAGAATACGAATAAGCGCACTGTGATTCATTATTTAATTGTCAGTATGTAGACAGTACTAAGAGGGCATTCCTAGCAACAATCTGTTATAACATCAATTATGTGAATAATAAATAAATGCCTATACACCGCATACGTTCAATTACGTTTCAATGGAAATGTATAAAACGCCTAGTACTCATAAACTCTACCGAGAATTAAAGCGAGTGTGGTTCATTTCAACGCTATTTTTTATGATCCGGTTTAGACCCAAGAAAGCGTAAATAGTTTAAGACAAATAATGCACCACATGTTTTATTATAGGGTGATCTCATAGACCACGAAGTAACATTATTATTCATGTTTTCAAAAGTCAACTTTTACTGTGATATAAAGTAATCGTTTCACTCAATAGTATAAAGTTTCAAGCTCAAATTATAAAATTAAAGTGACTTTTTTATATTTTAAAATAATATTAATTATTATAGTAACTAAGATATCTGATAAATAATTTGATGTTTACCAATAAACGCCACGCTACGTTTTTTTATAAATACATATATACAAAAATTATATTGTTTATATACTTTTGTTACTTTATATTGTTATTTTACTAAATAACTACTAACTATATTAATGTGAGATTTGATATTTTAAATTTTTTTTCAAATGACTTTTGCTATTCAATACATTCTAGTGTAAAAGATGTGTTGGTAACAACTAAATCAGTCTTGTTGTATTCTTGTAACCAATGTGCCCTTTCGTCTCTTTCTGTCAAATTATGTTCACGCTGTGATGAAAAGAGGCAAATTTTAACTTGAAAACATTGCAATTAGACTGATTTAGTTTGTAAGTTAGTTCGTATTTACCTATATAATCATGAATTCCTTGCAAATTACCAACTGAATATAGTCAATGATTACAGAAATCCAATTATTTTACTTTTCGTTTCTGTAAATCATAGCGTCAATGCAACTTACTTAAACATAGCAACTGCGGTTACGGCAGCTAGTTTGAACATAAACCGAAGCAATAGCTTAAAATTTAACAAAGTAAATTCCCATTGCAATCCTTGTCTATAACGAGTGCTTTATGTTAAGCCGCACTACAAATTAGCGCTCTCGCTTGTAAAATGGTGCGGTTTTAAACAAGCTGCAACTCAGTTAGGAACTTTACAAGTTTCAGTTCATCTGCAGTACGCCCTGAGTACTGCTAATAGCTACTGTAATCTAGGTTCTAACTGCTAATAAAATTTCATTCAACTAGTTCGCACCTTTCATTAAATAAACTTTTGTTTAAACCTGATAGAATTAGGGAGCTTACGCTGTTGTAGCAGTCTTAATATGAGATTTTCGAATATTGTGTGAGGGGATCGCGATAATAGAAATATTTTTTAGCATTATAAAAGTGTCCCGAGGCTTGCGTTTGTTTATTGTAAATTTATTGGGCACCGTATTGCAATCGTTTTATTAAGTATGTAATTATGTCTTACCATAAATGAGATTTTAAAACTTGAAAATTAATTGTTATATTTATGGTAACTGCCGATTACGAAATAAATATCAATTTAAAAGCTTTACGAAACTATTTTATCTTAATAAACTACGCTTAGATACATGTCGCGTCAGTTATTTTAAAATGTCTATGAGTTCGTAAACACGTGTTAACCAAATAGTAGAACATATTTTTTTATTGAAATAGCTAATTAGGAGTAGATCGCTAGTTAGAATCAGTGTATATTTTACACTGTAAAACAATTAAGTATATTTAAATATTTCGCATGAAATTAAATAATTCGAACATACATTTTACATTTTCGTAACTTTCATAAGTATTTGGTATCTCAATGACGTGATAGCCAATGATTAAGCGTGCCTTGACCGTCTAATTAAAAAACGCATTACAATGGCGTCATCCCACGTTGTGTTAAACAGCGTATGATATTATAAATTCTTTATAAGTTACTAGTACGAAAACGTCACGTGCTATATAATATGAATGTTTTTCTATTAATAATAATAAGTACTGACGACTTTCCTTTGTTAACTCAAGTGATATTTTAATGGGCACTGTCATCACAAATCTGTATGTATTCGTACGTAAAACTGTATATTTTAAATACGTCATCGTCATGTCTCACTTAAGTGCTCGCGTTAAGGCGCGACTCGGGCGCAACGCACGGATTCAAACTGTTGGTGTACGCAGGACTGCGGGCGAGCCGCGACCACGACGTTTGACCTTATTTAATTAGTTCGTTCGTTTTTACTCTTTGATACGTAACAGCATATTAAAATGTGTACTGTTTTATTGTTGCCATCTACCATATTAACATTAATTTACAACTCCATAAACGTTAAAAAATTCTTACCAAAACCCCTATTTTCACTTTTTGCAACTCGTTACATTGAATCGTATTGTTCGTTTCGCGTGTCTGTTGATTTTGACTTTTACGTGTTAGATCTACAGCCGGCAGGCGTGATCCTGTGCTCTATTTCTGTTTCGAGTTCAACCACCTCGGCACGAGCTCACACGGAATTTTTGCCATGGAAACCAATCTTTGGCTTACGTCGAAAGATTATCTCTGAAATGAAATGAACACAAATTATTTAGATTATACTTGTTTGTTCGTTGTACACGAGTCGCTCGTTTCGATTATTTTATGGGATTAATTTCACGTTTTAAGAAGTCATATAAAATGTATGTTTATGTCGAACATTCAACTTGAAAAAACATTTTTGGAGTAGGACACACCTATCCACGTGTTTCTGTCCTATATATATGGCCCGGGAATTGTTGAAACAAGAGAAAAATAGACACAGAATGCCAGAATATTTTCTACTTTAGGATTTACAAGCCTCCACCAAAAACTTACATTAAAACGTGCATAAATAAATAACTATTAAATAATTCCGAAAGTTATTAAATATTCTTATTGTTCCTAGCAAATTTTCCTATGATGTTCTATCTAACATTGCAATTCTCTTACAGCGCTATGAAGATAATGCTGTCCAAGCTGCCTCGTCCCTGGATAGTGGACGCTGCCAAAGACGATGGCTACACTGCACTTCACTTAGCTGCGTTAAATAATTACGCAGAAATCGCCGAACTACTTGTCCAAGGTGGAGCCCAGCCAGACCTACAGAATGCGAACATGCAAACAGCACTTCATTTAGCCGTCGAAAGACAGCATACACAAATAATACGTCTCCTTATTGCAAATGGAGCGAACCTCAATATTTGTGATAAGGTAAGAGAAAATTCAATATGTCAAGCATGCTTCTATAGATATTCGTGAAAACGGATATGAATTCCCAAGATTCCCCTAAATACGCTATACATTATATAGGTATGTTTAAATTTGTAGTCATTAGTGGTTATGCCGAAGTGAACCCAAGAAGCCCTCCTGAATATTGACGTTTTTTGATTGTATATTAGTTATCCTTACTAGGGTCGCATATGTTAACCTTTAAATGCTAACATCGCGGGGGTCTCAAATATATGCTAAATAAGTCATAAAAGGTGCCTTTTAGGTTCAGAATTTGAATAGGTAGTAGTTCTATTTATTAAGTAAACTTATATTTTGTATGCGAAAGTTGGTATATTTATTGCTGTTTAAATTAAACTAAGCCGATGTATCACGATTTCTTGTTTAACATAACTTTGATGATGTTATGAACATTGTAGCCTATTTAGTTTTAGTAAAACTATGTTATATTTATTTCATTGATAAGGTGCTACATATAGCACCTACTACTCCAGGGAGACCTGAATTTATTCAGCTGTAAATATAATTTAAAATTTATTTTAAAACAAAGATTATAATGGCTATTGAGAAACACTAAACAGTTTGAATAATAAAGAAACCAGAATTGAGCACATATTAATTATATTTTCATTAAATTAATAATTAAATTGTTAGTTACCAACAAATTTAACTTTCCAGGACGGCGACACTCCCTTACACGAGGCTCTGCGCCATCACACTTTGCAGCAACTACGACGTCTGCAAGAAGATACAGTGTTCCCCACACTAGGTGGTATTGCGACCGCGCTTGATAAGAAATCATCAGCATCCATAGCATGTTTCTTGGCTGCCAATGGAGCTGATTTGAGTATAAAAAATAAAAAAGGTAAGTTTTTCAATGTTTTCGAAGAATGTTGTTGTTTAACGGATCACAAATACACACTTATGAACGTCAGTAAAAAAATTAATGCTTTTAAATTAGCATTTACTGCCAGTTCTCAAATCGAGGGAGTAAAACAGACGAGAAGAACTGGCAAATAACTCTCCGTCAATAGTTTTAATCGCCAAGGGATTACATCCCTTGGCGATTAAAACTAATAATTGTGGTATATTTACTTTTTTATTTATATCACATTATTAATAATATGTTGTTTTGCTAATTATAAAGCGTTTATTTTAAAGTCTAGTATATAGTATATTTTTATTATTAGTCGAGGGAGTTAAAGGAATTCAATCCTTATAAACAACTCATAATTTAAACACAGTAGTTCACACAGCTCTCTTATTATTTGTTTTATGTAGATACATTTATCTGTTATGCATCAAAAACAGAGTCACAATTGCTTAGAATTTAAAATATACAATCAACTTCCATTTTCTGCTTTCGCTTTAAATATCTACGAATTTTGGGATGAATAATGAAAGAAATTGTTCTAGCCATAACGCAAGTTCCCATTGAAACCTATTTAAGTTAGTCATATAAAAGCGACCCGTCATACTTATGCGGCATATGGTACCTACGTCAAACGCCTTGAAAATTATTATGAAAATGAAATGCAGTCGGGAAAAACAACTTTAATAAAACATAAACATCGTATATATTTTAATACTGAATCTCAATGCATGTTATTCTATTTTGAACCTAACGTACATTATTTACAGTTCAGATTAGAATAGCCGGTTTTTTTACGATATACATGTATGGAGAAGGTTTGTTACCCCAAATGGGTCATGGGCCAGACATTTCTGTGGCTACTTCGTTTATCATTTTGAAGTAAGTATCATACTATTATACGTAATATGTTATTTTTTTACCGAAAATCAAAATCAAGGTAGGTCACAAAAGCGGTACGTATAAGCGGTATATGACTCCGATGCTTTTTTTTTCATATATTGTTACTTATTGTGAAACTATTACAACGTTCAAATTATGTTTAAGAATCTTCGTAACTAGTTTTTATTGAATATTTTGAAAGACAAAATCAAATATCATAGAAAAATCAATATATACTATAATCTAACAAGGAGTGTTGGCTTTGTAGTGTCTGTGTGAGGCTCTCATCCCTGAGGTCAAAGGATAGAACCCCAGCTGTGCTCAAATGGACTTTCTATATCTATGTGCGCATTTAACACTCTCTCGTACGGTATTGGCACAGAAGGCTGATCATCCTTTTAGTATAAGCAAAGAGTGGCGGAGAGTTTATTGCCAGTTCTTCTCGTGGTACGCCCTTGATTTGAGAACTGGCAGTAAATGTAAAAATAGAAGCATTTAATATGTATTTCTTTAATGACGTGCTCATAAGTGTACATTGTGTTACCTAAATGTATAAATGATTTTGAATTAAATTTCAACGAATCACGAAACAGATACAGAAATTCTCAAGCCCAGACCTAAAGGGCCTCTGCTTTTTAAAATCTAACAACGTTTTCTATTGTAGTTTTAAAATATAATATAATTTGCGTATTCGTGGGCGGAGAAGTCGCTTATTTAAAGCCGCATCCAGTAAACGCTATTTAGATTGCTCAACTTGCATTGGCGCCAAAATACTTAGACATGTATCGCAACTCAACTCATATTCCAATCATTAATAATTTTATAGCGATGTTAGTATTTTGCCGATAACCGCCTACGTAGTTATTTGATCCTATTATTAATTCCTTTAAGCAGTGTTAGACTAAGCGTACAACTGTCATCCCTAAGGTGCTATGCCTGGCTGTGCAACAATGTATGTTTCGTTCTATATGCAGAATCTTGGTCATACGGTGAAGGAAAACATCGTGAGGAAACTCTTAGCAAACGTGTCTTAGAGGAAAATTAAAAAAAAATAATGTCCGGCCTATGGCTCATCACTCAATTTCCAAAACAAAATTCTGCTTAGTTTCAGAAATAATTACAATATCAAACTTAAAAAGTTTTAATTACTAAAAACCTTTTTCTATAACACACAATATTTAGGTATCCAGAGTTAATATATTTTTACGTTTGAATCTGATGACCATTTCACAGATCAGTGAGCTTTGTCACTTATTACAGTCCCTAATGATTAATGCATATCATGACCTTTATTCCTTAATCACTGAACCGTATAGTTAGGAATAAAATATTTGTATCCTTTTGTATAAATCTAAGTATCTTTGTGGCGTAGAGGTTAATGTACGTGGCATAACCCGGAACTCCTGAATAGTGAACTAATTGTTTAGGAATGTTAGGCAGAGAAGATGCAATGCGAGACTTTAAACAAATTGCTTTAAGTAAATAACCTTATCTTTTAAAATGCGTTTCCAGGTCAAACGCCATTAGATCTTTGCCCAGACCCGCATCTACGTAAAACGCTGACATCATACCGAAAGGGAGGCCCAACCGACGATACCCCCGAGACCGAGATTCGCTCCTTCAGTCCTCCCGTAGCCAGCACATCTACAGAGACCCCTGCACCAGCTCCGGAGGCCCCTGTCAAAAGTGAAACGGAAGAAGAATGTCTAGTATGTTCGGACGCAAAACGAGACACGCTTTTCCGACCTTGCGGCCATATATGCTGTTGCAATGTTTGCGCTGCGCGGGTGAGTTTCGAAATTTATATCTGAAAAATCGTTTTTATTTTTCTTTGTAACATTATCCGTACTTAAATATAATATTAGATTCTTAGCAATCGGAGTCAATATAATTTATTTAGACTATATAGACCTTACGGTTTAAGATATTTATTTCGAAGTTGAAACGTGACGAAGTTCAAAATACTTACTGTATGAAAATATTATTCCCCACGTAACTAGTTTTTATTTAATATTTTGAAAGACACTATCAAATATCATAGAAAAATCAATATAATATGCTATATCTAACGGGCAGTGTTGGCCTAGTGCGACTCTCATCCCTGAGGTCGTGGGTTCTCTTCTGTCTATGTGCGCATTTTACACTCACTCGTACGGTGAAGGAAAACATGGTGAGGTAACCAGCATGTCATAGAACTAAAAACCACGGCTTGTGTTAGGCACAGATACAAATACAGAAATCTAAAGCCCAGAACTAAAAGGCTATAGCGCCAATGGTTTTTTTAATACAACTTCTTATATTGGAGTTAAAAAATATATATTGCAATTTGTTCGTAAATCCACGATACTTTAGGTAAGATAATGCCAGTGACATTACTATCGTTTGATTGATTTTGCACAAGAAAGGGGTGGCAAAGAGCCAAGCGACCCATTTAAGGCACGCAAACTCGCCTGCGAATATAATTTTCGACAAAGTGTGCTCAAAAAACGACATAAACGTAAATTATCATACAAAAGTTACAAAAGAATAACTTATAAGTGACATTGATTTACTCACGGTATACATAAATAGAAATAGCGTAATGGCTATGAATATATCTGATTCATGTCTTTGTTAAATTACTGGTTGAAAAAATACGATCAATATTCTATTATAATATATTTATAAGAAGTTATTCTCGAGTTAAAGTAGTGTACTTTTCTCTTAGGTCTAAAATGTTCTAGGACTAATTAGCTTATGAAAATGTTGTCACCTTGGAGATCCGTTAACGTGGTTCCTATTAATTTTTTTATCATAAAATAACATACCAATAAAATAATTTATCTAACGAAATGTATAAATTGCAAAATACTATAATTATTTTACACTAAATAGATACAAATAATAATTTTCAGGTGAAGAAATGCTTTGAATGTCGGGCTCCCGTTACGTCTCGTGCTCGTGTTGGCGAATGTATGGTGTGCTCTGAAGCACCAGCTACTGTGGTGTTCCGGCCTTGCGGTGACGTGTGCGCTTGTGCATCGTGCGCACCACTGATGCGCAAATGCGTCAAATGCCGTACACCACTACAACCTCACAATTTGCATAAAAATGAATGTATGTATTTAACAATTATACGAATTTTTTTTATATTTGCGTCCATAGAAAATTTTAGATGTGTATTTAAAAAAAATGTGAATCGAAATACTGTTAATATCAATTATTCTCTATAGATCACAGGTACATCACTATCGTCAGCTACTTTAATTTGGTAATCCCGTAATGCCAGATTTTAATAAGATAGACTTTAATATTTAATAAACCTTTATAATAAATATTAAACATTGCGAGATTTTTTTTTGTTCTCTCTACGTACTAGTTTATATTCCTACTTTATATTTAACTTTAAATTGAAGTTAATATGCCATGTAAACGTATTTTTAATATTAAACTACAGAAATAAGGTTTTAATACCTTTAAACTAGTAATAATAATAATTAATAAAGTATATGCTTACAATATGCTTTACTTTGCTGGTGCATTGATTCTTTATCATATTTTTTCAGTAACAAAAGAGTGTACCAGCAATCTGGTGACTGCGGTGCCAAATAAGGGTCAGCCAGCGGTGTCCCCGGCTGGACCTCACGTGATGAATAACACACGTCAGCCCGGCGCGCCCTCTACCGCAGAAGTACAGAAATTGCAACAGCAGTTGGAGGATATCAAGGAACAGGTAAATATAAATAATAATATTTATTTATTTACAGTTTAAAAATAACAAACTTCCAGGCAACCATAGATAGGCATAGAAATGGCAAAGGCTTACTCACTTTGATTATCCTGGGTCGGATTTTAACACATTTCAGGGTTACATATAAATAAAATAGTAATTTGGCATAAACTATAGAAATTCCGTTGCGTTCCACAACTGAGCGTTTTAGGGCCCTTTCTGCCGCGCAACACCACAATGTGAAGCAAGCTGCCGAAGTATTTCCGAACCAAATCGACTTATAATCGACATTAAAAAGCCGGCAAGGCACTCGCGTTATCCATAGGCAACTAACTATACTAGATAAAAGTCAAAAAAATTGAAATGAAATGTATTCAAAAGTCAAAAATCATTTATTCATATAGGTAACACAGTGTACACTTATGAACGTCAAAAAAGAAATATACATTAAATGCTTCTAATTTTACATTTACTACCAGTTCTCAAATCAAGGGCGTAGAACGGAAGAAGAAGAACTGGCAATAAACTCTCTGCCACTTTTTTTAATCGCCAAGTTTTTTTGTTTTACACAACGTTTGTAAGGAGCTGCAACCAATACACCATGTAGTCATTTACATACAACCCAACACAAAGTTATTACAAGTAAACAATATTAAAGAGTTGCTGACTTTGTCATAACTATCAAGATAAAATTCGAATTAGTATAATTAATAAAAAAAAATATTATTAAAAAACTTGCCTTGGCTTCTATATTATGTCAATAAAAAAACTGTTCCATCCGTGATGACCAAGGGAAATAGAGATTCATTTATAATATATATATAAAAGTACAAGGTATAATAGAATTGTTCTAAAAAGGTTTCACAAACTAAAATATTTACACTTATGACGCACTGAAGAAATGTATATTTTAATAATTGATTCTCTTTCAGACCATGTGCCCAATATGTCTGGACCGCCTCAAAAACATGATATTCCTATGTGGACATGGAATGTGCCAAATGTGCGGAGATTGCATCACCGTTTGTCCAATTTGCAGAAAACAGGTTGAAAAGCGTATATTACTCTATTAGCATTAAAATTAGACGTTATTTCTCTATAGAAAAAGCTGATAGTCGCGTGCACAATTAATAATGTACGTGCCCTCAAACTGTGTTAAGACTATTAAATTCCAAATAAATATATTCTATAAAAATAGCAATAACTGCAATTACACTTTAACCCTTTCATATAAAATTAAATCAGTCTAATTACATAAAGTACTGTTTCGTCTCTTTCTGTCAAATTGTGTTTAGGCATCGATGAAAAGATTACGTTAGTTAAAAAATTGCAATTAGATTGATTTAGTTTTTATGGTTAAGGTTGGTTTATATCATTTAAGTGTTAAATGTTTGCTACGTTATGTTGTATGTTGGTATGTTAATTTTAAGTCGCTTTTAATGCTTTATATTACATCCATATGAAAATATTGCCGACATATTGCATTTACAGCATTTATTATATTATACGTTTTTTATTATTCAAAACAAAGTGTAAGCTAAATTTACAGAGTACGTGCTGTTAAATAAATATCATTTATCGGCAACTATATTCTGTAACTACTCTACGGCAAATGTCAGTTGGTAAATGTGAATTATGCGACGTAGCGGAACTTACCAATTTTTTTTTAAATTTGTATTAATATCGTATATATGTTAGTGCTATAATAAATAGTAATTTGACAAAAAAGCTCCTTATATTTAAGATAAAAAATAAATATAAATTGGTTTTGATTATAGTTTATCTGTGATAGAATTTAATTAACATAACAAAATGTCCGAAAAATAATGTTACGAGATTTCTTACTTGATTCTATTAGTTAATTGTTAGTGTAGTTTCAAATATCTTTAGGTTATATGACAATATTTACTGTTATACTAATATATTTCATTTTTATATTGTACTTAATAAAACCATTGCATAAATCATATGTCTTTATTTTTCAACAAAAAACAATCTAAGATTAGCCTGTGTAATGAGACGCAAAAGTTTCCTCAACGGGTTCCTTTCCAATATCTTTCTGTATAACCTCTGGTTTAACAATACTATAATCGAAACCCAAGACGCGATCACGAATAACGTCACGTGTTAAATCTTGTAATTTAAATGATAGTTGCGTATCTCTAGCCATAGAGCTCTCGTTGCAACGTCGGCAATCTTTCAAATATATGGCAGAGAGTCCCTCTAACTCTGGCGAGATGGCGCTGTAGATAACGGTACTAGCCCCTTGTTTCTGAAAAAATCAACAGTTATAGATGGCGCAAATTCGATAAGATTGAATCATTTTAAGCTTTAAAATTACATAAGATATAGCTAGATGGCGCTTTTAAATTTATTACAATGATCAAGTCTGGATTACATATCATAGCTATACATCTTGCTCGAGTGCGTTTCAGCAATCTTGGTTGTCTCACTGACTACAGATAGCAGATAGCACATGATGATTGGTTGTAATAGAATAAATTCGTGTTTATTATATACCTATTATCATTTTAAATATCATTCTTAAAAACTTTTTATATGTATAATAAGCGGGCAGGAGGCTCACCTAATGTTAAGTGATACCGCCCATAGACATTCATATTGCCAAAGGGCTTGCAAGTGCGTTACCGGCCTTTTAAGAATTGGTACGGAAATTTAGTTAAAAAAACTTTAGTTGACCGCTGGTTCCACATAGTGGCGGTGCCCGGCAAAAACTGCGTTAAGAAACGCTCAGTTTTAGAACGACGGACGTCGAGGTTATACAGGAAAAAATCTTCTTTTTAAAAGATTTAATTACATATATGTTATTTCTCAGGGACTTCTTAGGTCAACTCCACATAATATAGGTTGACACTTATTAACTCTAATCAAATTAAATTTAACTTACCACATTCTTGGAAAAGGGCAGCATGGCAGTATACAGCATCTCATAAACCCACCAGTTTCGCGATAATCTTGTTTTAATAAACGTACCAGGGTGTGCAGTTAACACAGAGATATTAGTATTTAGCCAACGATATCCTAAATAGTGCATTGCGAGTAAACAGCACAACTTGGATATATTGTAAGCCTTTATCGACGTATACTGTTCCCTGGGCAGGGAAATATCTTCCAGAGTTGGTGATAAAATTTTCTCGATTGGCCATTTTATATTTCTGAATTTAGAAAAAAGTTTTTAAGAAAAGCTTCGTTGGCTCGGAGCTTTAAATAGCATTTAGCTAGATAACCTGATACACCATCTACCGCCGCCGTCCTGACAGTGTTCTACTGTAGGTTTTTCATCTTCTATTTTAAACGATTTAAAAATAAAGGGACTGAACTCTATAAATAAAGTTTAGTATCGTAAAATAATACCTTTGAACCTATGAATAACAAAAATGCTAGAAAGAAAACTATGATACATTAACAACTGTAACCCTCGAATGGGGGATGGCAGACACATTTCTGAGTTTATTTTATTACCTAGTCGGTGTCGACTGTCTTTATCTACCAACCCGAAACTAATTTTAATATCTGTTAACTATAAAGGTAGTAATATCTCATTGGCATCCAACCTATGGGATTCCGCACCAGTAAAAACGACTCTTGCGTCCGGTGCCAGGATGCCCTCCAAAGTCATGATAAGGAAAAACTGCGCCAAATAGTTCACTTGAAATGTCGTTTCCAAGCCATCTTCGGTAAGTGTCCATGGTAAACCAAATGTGGCCGCGTTTAAGATGACTATGTCAAGTTTTCTATAAAAAAACTTAAATTAAAATTATGTTATATAATTAGCTTTATTCAACGTCAGCATAAAAGTGGGAGAAATATTGCAAAATCAACGCCTTATTCAAAAAACCTAAATCTTATTACACATGTTTAAAGTACTTATTCATCGCTTTCTGCCACATCTTTACGCTGTGAAAAAAGAAAAAAATAAGGTGATTAAATATCAGACTATATGCGCTATCTTTGACAATCAAATTTCTATAAATGCCAGCAATCCTTCAAATACTATTTTAAAACAAGAAGTTTTTAGTTGCTACGCTCACCCAACGCCAATATATTATAGTAGTTCAAAATACTAATGATTTATTTAGCCTTTTATTCAGTTGATCCATGTCACGAATCTTACTCGTACCCTCTGAATATTACTTACTTTTCATTTTTAAGAATCATATCGGAGCATTTTTTAACCGATGCTAAAGAGGCGAGATTTAGTTCGTACAGCTTGATATTTTCTTTTTTTTCGCACACATTTTTCGCTACGACGCTTGCTTCATACGAGTTTCGACATGCCATCAACAGTTTACAATCGTGTGCATTCAGGCACCTCGTTACTTCTAACCCAATGCCGCTATTGGCGCCAGTAATTAAACATGTCTTATTTGACAAATCCACATCTTTTATCACCTAAAATACATTATGACGCAATCAACCTTATGTCAAAGTAGAAAAAGTGTTATCCTTATTGCTAAATTGCAGTAATGTTTGTGAAAACTTGTCACATTCGGAGACAAAATAAAAATAAACCTCAAAATAGTATTCAAAGAATATTCATACAAAATTTTAAAGAAAGATATATAAAATCGTGTGGGAAAATATTCCGACTTCGTTAAAACAGATTTTCTATTACATTTGAAACATACTTCTTCAGCGGTAGGTCCGTGTATTCTTACAAACTCAAAGTTCTTAAGCCTGTCTCCAACCCACTCTTGCAACTTATTGTACTTCAATTTCTTAAGACCTCTATCGGTTCCGTAAAATGTACTATATCGTCTGAAAACAAACGAAACCCGGTAAGAAATTTATAAAAGCATAAACTTAACTATCTTAGCATATGCACATATCTAGACATATAAATTTCAAATACAGAAACGGGACATTTCGTAAAAACAACATCTGATCATAAGCCGTATACGTTGGTAGTGTAATTTTTTAGGACAAAAACAATCAATTAAACAATCACAGGATTCTTATTATCTTAAAAATTATATTTCGTTTGACTTACACAAATAAGGTCCTATAAATCATCCTATGTTTTGCGTGGAAACTTAAGTAAAACATAATATCCTATTTTTATAAAAACAGTTATAAATAATAAATTTCGCGATGTAGACGACCTTTACATCAGCTCAAATTTGTTTTTTATAATGATTAGAACTTGTCACACATTTTTTATTAGTGTCTTTAAAAAAATAAAAAGGTTTACTTTAAACAGGCTAAACTTTGTGGATATGCATAAAGTGGACCGTATACGCGCCTATGTAAATAATAATCTATATTCACAGCGAGAGAGTGTCTAAAAATATGACGATTTACTGTATTTTTACACGCTTTATATTAGCTTCACCTGTATGTATGTATGTATGTAACCGACTCCTTCGGACTCGATTTTGACCCACTTTTAACGGACAGATTTAATTCAAACTTTGCGCACCTTTCAAAGATCGATGACAATGCAATAATCCGAAAAAAAAATAAACTAAAAAATAAATAATATTAAAAAAAAACTATAAAACACGCTTTTAAAGCACATCAAACTAAAAAGTGAAAAATAATGCCTAATTTAGGCTGAAAATGGTAATGAACAAAAAATACTGGTATTATTGTGAAAAAGCGTGGGGCGCTCTGTGCCATATTTTTCGTCTATCGAGCAACCTACGCTTTTTCACAATAAATATTTTTAAACTATTATTTATTTTCAGGATTAGCCATATCATTTAAACATTAGGTATCTTAAATAGCTCATGTTTATTTTTAAATTGTTTTGTCGAAAAGTGATTTTGTCTCGAGCCCAAGTTCATGCATCATGAATCTGTCATTAAACATTTATTGTGTTGTAACTTCGTAATTCGATCATACTTTGAGTGATTGCCTATTTTTTTAATAAAAACATTTATTACGTTATATTTACGTGGAACCCACGCAGGGTTTCGTGTTTTTTTTGCAATTTACCTCAACCTTGCAACCTACCTATTCACGAAAAATCGTTATATAGGTGTGTATTTCAATCAATCAAGTTATGAGTTAGGTTTAATTTCCTAGGTATTCGTGAAAAGCATACAAAAATCCATTTGGCAGTTTTTGAGTTTATCGCGTTCATACAGACAGTCAGACGTGGTCAGGGACTTCATTTTATTATATCTATTTTCATTTTTCTTACACATAATAACATAATAAACATATGCACAATTTGGATCCGCTAATAGATAAATACATTAAAAATACAACACAGATAAAAGAATAATAAGTTGAGTTGTTTGGACTGTTGTCAACGGACGTCTCCGAGGCCCGAGCACGTAAGTGTGAATATGTCAAGACTCAAGTAATATGTGACATCAAGTTTAGACTTTAGAGTTGCTTCTGTCAGAATTTTTAATCTTTGGAATTTGGATTGAATTGAGTTTTGTTGTTATAACTAAAGTTAATTATATTTATCTAAAATGATAAACAATTTAGAAATGTGTAGTAGTGTCATTATAATTGGGAAAGTTCGCTGAATGAATTGATTGGCAAATTTAAATAATTACACGGTTTTAAGTTAAATTATTTGTACATAAAAATATTATTATCATATTGTAGGATTTAGCAGTAGTCTGTATGACCGCAACGAAACAGATATTTTTTCTGATATTCTACTGAATGGAACAACCTGAGCTCTTGAAAATATAACTTACGTTAAAATGGACAAGCGTAACAAAAGGCATTATTCTTCATCGGATTCTGATAGTGTGGAAGAAAGTCGCTTGAAGGATTTGAAAGAAAGAGATGAATTTGCGACAAGATTAAGAAAACGAGATGAAGAGAAAGTAAAAAAAGTTACTGAGAGTTCAAGTAAGAGGTCATACGAGGAAGCAGCCAAACGACTTAAATTAGAAGCTGAAGATAGAGATAAGCTATTGCCAAAGCTTCGTATTCAGTCCCGTAGAAAATATTTGCAAAAAAGGAAAGATGATAAAGTTGTTGAACTTGAAGATGATATTGCTGATGATGAATATCTTTTCGAAGAAACCATGTAAGTATAAATTTAATTGTTTATAAATAAGGACATAACAAATTACATATATATTGGAATTTTTTATCAGCTTTGAATATAAACCACAGCGGTTTGCTAATGTAACTTATTATGATTGTATAATATTTTTGTGTAAAATAAAGAAATTAAAAAAATAAATAATAATTTAAGGTTTGTTAAAATTTCAAAATGTTTAATTAATAATCTCTAATTTGATTACAGTTTAACTGAAAGAGAAAAAAAAGAGAGAGAACATAAAAAAACTATTTTAAAATTAGCAAAAGAACATGAGAAAGCAAGAGAGTTGGAGAACATCCAAAGGTATCACATGCCTCAAGACCTGGGTAAAGGAGAAAAAGGTAAATATTCAATATATGTCTATTATTTATGTAATGTTAAGGTAACATTTAAAAATAATAATTATATCTTTTAGGTGAATACATTGAAGTTGATGAAAATGAAAAGCTACCACATGCAGAACAAAGAAAATGGGAACAAGAACAAATTAAGTCAGCATTCTTTAAATTTGGTGCAAAAGATTCTAAAGCACAAGATGAATATGAGCTGCTTCTGGATGAACAAATTGATTTTATACAAGCACTACAACTTGAAGGCAATAAAGAGAAAAAGGAAGCTGAGGAAGTATCAGAATACAAAAAATTAAGGATGACTATAGAAGAAACAAAAAAATCCTTACCCGTTTTCCCTTTTCGCAATTCTCTCATAGAGGCTATAAAAAAATATCAGATTTTGATTGTGGAGGGTGAAACTGGTTCTGGTAAAACAACACAAATACCTCAATATCTTCATGAGGCTGGTTTCACTAACGAAGGCAAAAAAATTGGCTGTACACAACCAAGAAGGGTTGCGGCAATGTCTGTAGCTGCCAGGGTAGCACAAGAAATGAATGTTAAACTTGGAAATGAAGTTGGTTACAGCATTAGATTTGAGGATTGCACATCAGATAGAACAGTAATAAAATACATGACAGATGGAACATTGCATAGAGAATTTCTTTCTGAACCAGACCTTGCTTCATACAGTGTTATGATAATTGATGAAGCACATGAACGCACTTTACATACAGATATTTTATTTGGATTAGTAAAAGATATAACTAGATTTAGACCTGATTTGAAACTACTTATATCCAGTGCAACACTTGATGCTGAGAAATTTTCAAGCTTTTTTGATGAGGCACCCATATTTAGAATACCTGGTAGAAGGTTTCCTGTTGATATTTATTATACAAAGGCCCCAGAAGCAGATTACATAGATGCTAGTGTTGTATCAGTGTTACAGATACATGCTACACAGCCACTAGGTGATATTCTTGTATTTCTCACTGGACAAGAGGAGATTGAGACTTGTGTTGAAATGTTACAAGAAAGGACTAAGCGTCTTGGAAAGAAATTAAAAGAACTTGTAATATTACCTGTATATGCAAATCTTCCAAGTGATATGCAAGCAAAAATATTTGAACCCACACCTGAAGGAGCAAGAAAAGTTGTTTTGGCTACAAATATAGCCGAAACATCTCTTACTATAGATAATATTATTTATGTTATTGATCCTGGCTTTGCAAAGCAAAATAACTTTAATTCAAAAACTGGAATGGAGAGTCTTATGGTTGTACCTATTTCTAAGGCATCTGCAAATCAGAGAGCAGGTAGGGCTGGTAGAGTAGCACCTGGAAAGTGTTTCAGATTGTACACTGCTTGGGCTTATAAATATGAGCTAGAAGATAACACTGTTCCTGAAATTCAGAGAATTAATTTAGGTAATGCTGTTCTGACATTAAAAGCATTAGGAATTAATGACTTAATACATTTTGATTTCCTGGATCCCCCACCTCATGAAACATTAGTATTAGCACTAGAACAACTATATGCCCTTGGTGCACTTAATCACCATGGTGAATTAACCAAGGCAGGAAGAAGAATGGCAGAGTTTCCAACAGATCCTATGCTAGCAAAAATGCTTTTAGCCAGTGAAAAGTAAGTAATTTGGTTTGGTATAATGAGACAGACAAATTTCTGCAACTTTATTTAAAAACAAATAAATTAAAAAATCTAATAGCAACAGCGATACCGATCTTGACGTTCTTGTATGCATGTTCGATGTAGTTAAAAATCATTGAGATTAGGATTGCTGTAGCTAATGCTATTGAAGGTTAAAGTAAGAGCCAGGTTACCTTTTGTAACTTACAATTTATGACATCTTATTAATATTGATGACTTTATTTGCAGGTACAAATGCTCCGAAGAAATAGTTACAATAGCAGCTATGCTGTCTGTTAATAGTTCAGTATTCTACAGACCCAAAGACAAAATAATTCATGCCGACACAGCTAGAAAAAACTTTTTTCATCCAAGTGGTGACCACTTAACACTTATGAATGTATATAATCAATGGGTTGAGTCTGATTTTTCTGTACAGTGGTGCTATGAAAACTTTATACAGTATAGATCCATGAAGAGAGCCCGGGATGTTCGAGAACAGCTTGCTGGATTGATGGACAGGGTAGAAATTGAAATGGTATCTAGTATAACAGAAGATATGAATATTCGTAAAGCAATAACTGCAGGATACTTTTATCATATTGCAAAGTTTTCTAAAGGAGGGCATTATAAAACAGTAAAACATAATCAAGTAAGTATTATTGCAGATTTTTTTATATTAACCGTTTGCATGCTATAAGTTTTTACTCATGTATCAATCAATCAATCAACGATTTTGATGTCATATACCCTTTCCTGCAAAAAAACTGTATCTCTTCAAAAAAATGTCCAATTCTAATCATATTTGCTCTGATTTATTTATAGAAACTTGGACAATTAAAATAAAATATAAAGAAAGTAATTAATAAACATATTGTAAGCAAAAATTACAACATTAACTGGAATATAAAAGTAAAAAAGTAAACAGATATGCTTTCTTACACAAACTCTATGAAGTCTCTTACATTCTCACATCGGGCACAAATAAGGTTGCTCCTCTTCACATCACTTCTAACTCCACACCACACAGCGCCGTAAATTACGCCCTGGTGACTTTTCCAACCCAAACTTCCAACGGGAAGAAGTAGTTTGAGTGGCAGGTTCTGGTTTATTTTTATGGAGCACCATTGCTCCTCTAAATCATGAATTACGTTGCATGTATATTTCAACCGTGACATTTTATGACTGCATTTTTCTCGTTATGCAATATATAATGCATTCAGCCATATTTGAAGGTTTTCCATTCCTCCAAATAGGTGTACATCATTTTGTCGCTCTCGTCTACTCCTCCCATAAATTTATTATAAGTGTGAAAAATGAATGGTTTACTTTTGTGGATTCGTTGCCTCTCTTTTTTGTGACAGATACATTTGTCGTATCGATGTTCGGTGAAATGAATGTGAAATGATTTAGCACCCCGGTAGCAATAGAATCCAAGGCAATATTTGGATAAAGAGTCGCAAAGCATCCAAAACGTTAAACCCCACGTATGATGCTTCTTGTTTGGAAAATATTGTTTCATCATAGTCTGAGCATATGTTCCTACAAGTGATTCAAACAATCAACAGTTGCTCGTCACTACTATCACTTGCACTCAAAACTTGTATTACGCGGTGTGAGCGCACACCAATTTCGCTCCCGATATCCCTTTCCTCACTACTTGAAGAACCATTGAACTAGTTTTGTGCTCTGACATTTTAGGGGAAAAAAGTCTTTTCGCAATTCCTAAATTATTACAGACTTAAAAAAAATCTATATAGATATTATATAATTTGCGAACGACCTTCCCTGCGGAGCGCTCGCTGTCGCGCTTCTGGCGATTTTAGGACACACGAGCAGGAGCGCGGTTGTCCCAAAAATCTTGTCATTTATAAAGAACTCCTTTCCTACTTGTTAGTATAGCAGTCTTCTCTTCAGTTTTTCAAGGCAAATATGTATTGTAATCCCTTATTAAACTTTTAACAAAAGAATTTTCGGTTAGTAAGTATTGAAATTCTAATTTTCTTTTTTACAGACAGTCATGATACATCCTAATAGTGCACTGTTTGAGGAGTTACCAAGATGGGTTATATATCATGAACTTGTATTTACATCCAAAGAATTTATGAGGCAAGTAACAGAAATAGAGAGCAAATGGTTACTTGATGTTGCTCCACATTACTATAAAGCTAAGGAACTTGAGGATTCAACTAATAAGAAAATGCCTAAAACAATTGGTAAAGCTTCAAAAACTTAATAAAAGAAACCATTTTATTACCTTTTTTAATTATATCCTATTTGGTAACAGCCATAATTAAATGACTGTCACAAACTATTATTATTTCTAAGCTTTACAATATTCTATACATGGGAAACACTGAAAATGTTTAGAATTTTAAGATTACATCACATTAGCATTCTATCTTCACTTTAGATCTGGCCAGTTAAAAACATTGCTAATGAAAACTTTTTTTAATTTTAATTTTAGAACTCTTTGGTAACTGTAGTATATTGCATTCATTTGTTTTTGTGAATAGGCGGCAAATCTTAAACTCTTGTTACACGTGAAAATTAACCTAACGAGAGAAAATTTTCGGTCAATGATTTATTATTATACGACTTTCGTTGTGGGCTTACTCAACAACAAAGCTATGATAGGCTGCAATTAGCATTTCTTAATGAAGCCCCATCTCGTGCCGCTATTTACAATAGGTTTAAAAGACGTAGCAATCTCAATGATGATCCGCGTGAGGGACGTCCTTTAACAGCGACTACTGAAGATAACATCAGTGCTATGCGACGCATGATAGAGGAAGATAACAGAGTGACCTATCAGCAGATACGGGCAAGCCTAGGCATTGGTATGAGTCAAGTTCAAAAAATATTACACGAACATTTAGGCGTCAGGAACCTTTGTACCAAACCCCATACTTTAACCGACGACCAGAAACGCCTTCGCACGGACTGGTGTCGCCAAATGTTAGATAAGTTCAACGGCGGTGACTCAAATGCTGTATTTGACATCGTCACAGGTGATGAAAGCTGGATATATTGCTACGAAACAAAAAGACAATCAGCTCAGTGGGTGTTTCCTTGCAAGGATCGGCCGACTAAGGTAAAGAAATGAAGTCAAGGAAAAAAGATGATTGCCTCATTCTTTGGTCGGATAGGTCATTTTGCGACAGTTGTGCTAGAAGATGGAAGGAAGGAGGTCTACAGCTAATAGCATTAAAATCATATCACAGTATAATTGTAATAATTTCAACAAAATATTTAAAAATCAGACACTCTTCCTTTGCGTTCCCAATCTCCATATCTGGTAGGTTCTGGGCCTCTAGGTCCACCAACTTCTCCCGTATTTGGGTTAATGTCATTAGGCCATGGTGGTAGGGGATCCTCTTTAGGAGGAGAAAAATCTGCTTGTTCTCCCAAATCCTGTATTGGTGTAGTTTCTCTTAATTTCTTTCGAAATTCTGCTAACCTTTTAGATTCACCTTTGGACTCGTTTTCCTCAAATTCTGTCAGAGGTGGTTTCTGAGAGTATTCATTACGTGAACATAAACACCAAACTCCTACAACACAATTTTTAATTTATAAATAAAATATACATATATACAAAGAATTACATTTTGATACTATACTTTGGAAAGCTGTTTTAAAATAAAATCCTTTCAAAGACTGCATGCTGCTAAACAGTAAAATTAAAACGTAATACGTATTTCGTTTTGAAATTTGAAGCCTTTTTAATTTCAGAACTATTCTGTTATTTGCGACTAACTAGAAAGGCATTTGACACTTCAAAATAGTCAATTTAATGGTGTGCACAGACTATTGATACCTTTATAGGCAAATATTTATCGTAGAGAGCTAGATCATAGACATTTAAAAAAGGATTATAATCGAGAACGTCACAACAATATAGGTGATTATTTTAGGGTAAGATTCAGAAACGAGATGAATTTATTCTGAATTTAACGTATTTTTTTGGGTGTTGAAATAATGGGAGTCATAGTTCGCGCTAAGTGAATAAACTCTGAAGTCTGAATCACATCACACACATCCGAGAAGTTTTGAAGGCCGCGTAATAATAGACAATCCTTTGTTTATAAGGATTTGTAGGCATTGGCATCTATCATTGTCTATGGGTTTGTCATATGATCAATCGATGGTTTTGCGTACATTTTCTCAGTAATATCCTCCCTTAGCTTTGGTGTTTGTCGATTTTAAGTTGTCAGGTGAGGCCTCTTACAAGAAAATGAAGGGGTGCATATTCAATATTGATGCAGGCTATTTAGAAGGCTTATGCCGAGGTTTTAAATGTGGTATTTTGAAACAGGCTGATTACCTTAATTTGGTTCAGTGCGAAACCCTGGAAGGTAAGTACTATTAAATACTACATATTTGCTGACCTCATATATAGTACCCGTATAAATAACTCATTCCATTTCCAGACTTAAAACTGCATCTCCAAGGTACCGATTATGGAACTTTCTTAGCTAACGAACCGAGCCCTCTCGCCGTATCTACTATAGATGACAAGCTTCGTGAAAAGTTAGTCATTGAGTTCCAACATATCCGTAATCATTCTGTAGAGCCAATGTCAACATTTTTGGATTTCATCACCTACAGTTACATGATTGATAACATAATCTTATTGATCACGGGTACTCTTCACCAGAGACCTATCTCTGAACTGATCCCTAAATGTCACCCACTTGGTTCGTTCGAACAAATGGAAGCTATTCATGTGGCAGCTACACCTGCTGAGCTGTACAATGCTGTTTTGGTTGATACACCACTTGCTCCATTTTTTGTTGACTGTATCAGCGAGCAAGATTTGGATGAGATGAATATTGAGATCATTCGTAATACTCTCTACAAGGCGTATTTAGAAGCCTTTTATGATTTTTGTAAGCAAATTGGAGGAACTACAGCTGATGTCATGTGTGAAATATTGGCTGTAAGTGTTTTGCTGTACTCATAAAGAAAATTAACAAGTAATTGAACTTATCATCATAATTTATATTACAAAATATTTTTTTTATTTACAATATTCTGTTCTCCTTTAGTTTGAAGCTGATCGCCGCGCTATCATTATTACAATCAACTCTTTTGGAACTGAACTTTCTAAAGATGATCGTGCTAAGTTGTATCCTCGTTGTGGTAAATTAAACCCTGATGGATTGGCAGCATTAGCACGTGCTGATGACTATGAGCAAGTGAAAGCTGTTGCTGAATATTATGCCGAGTATTCTGCCCTATTTGAAGGAGCAGGAAGTAATGTTGGGGACAAGACTTTGGAAGACAAATTCTTTGAACATGAAGTAAGTTAAGATTGAATTGATAGATGAATATTTAAGGCCTTTGTTATATACCAATTAATTTTATTGATATGATATTTTAGTTTATCTAAAATATTAACATTTTACTTCATTATTCACAATTTTTACCACTGCATAAAAAAAAGTCTCACTTGGTACCTATACCTCCTCCCTCTTATCAGTTTCTTCTATAATTGCATATATTGTAGTACGTACTGATTTATTACAGTATTCTTTTTTCCTCACAGGTGAGTTTAAATGTTATGGCCTTTCTGCAACAATTCCACTTTGGAGTATTTTACTCATACTTGAAGCTGAAGGAACAGGAATGCCGAAACATTGTTTGGATCAGTGAATGTGTTGCACAAAAACACAGGGCCAAAATTGACAACTACATTCCTATATTCTAAAAAATCATAACGGTTCCATATTTATTGTTATGTAAATACCAAGAAAATGTTCAATCTATAAAATATTTATCAAATTATATTAATTGAGTGTAATATTGCAACTGTTAGAAATGTTAATTTTTTATAAATATAACTACAATGCTTCTAGCTGTGACTCCTTAAAAAATATTCTTAAATTCACTTATTTATTATACCATTCCATTATAAACATATTTATAATTTTGTCTCCCTTATTTTTTTAAGTTTTGTTGCTAGACAAAATTTTTTTTGTTTGCCTTCAAAATAGAAGTAAAACAGAATGAGAACAGTATTACAGAATTTATAATGAAGCTAAATTTTACTTAGGGCATTGATTATTAATCTTTAAACTATTACTGTTTGTGTCATGTTAAGGTCAATCATGTAATACTACTATCTATTGCAAAATATAGAATGTTGTAAATTTAATTAGTTTTGAATAAATAAAAATATTATACTTCATGAAATCTTTATTGAATTACATTGTTTTGATTTATCTCTATTTAATATTTGTTCAGTAAGAATATCTGTAATAGGGCCATTATAATGTACAACTTTTTTTGATTTTGGTTCCAGTAAGTTTTCATATTTAAGCCAAAAATTTTCTTTCAACATATCTTCATGAATGTCAGTAATAGCTGTTACTATTTTTTTTATTATATCTGACTGCACCTGAAGCTTTAATAATATTGTACCTCTTTTAAAGATTTCCTGTTCTTTGTTGTAGTTTATATTAAACTCTTTGAATAGAATTTCATTTTTATCTGCTGACACTGTTCCACATAATCGCTTTTCAGCTTCGACTGGACTAAGTTTTCCTTGTAGTACAAGTGCCCAAAATGCAGTATTATACAGATTATTTATATGGACATCAGCCTGTCTCCATTTAAGGTAGTCAATCACATTTTCTGCTGATGGGTACAATACAATTCTACCATCAAAAGATGGAGGATATTGCAGGATTTCATCTCCAAAAAATTTTCTCCAGTAAAAAACATAAGAAGAAGAGAATTTACTGTTGATTGTTGTAAGCAGCTTTGCCCCCCTTCTTTTATAAAATGCAGTATTCTTATTAAATATAAATGAATATTCATCACTTTGTCCGAAAGCAACACAAATATCATGGGTATCTTTCATAACCTGATAAGCAGCATAATTCATTAATTTCAATGCTCTTAAATCATTAGGTTTAGTAAAATTGTGATGTTCGGAAAATTTGTGAAAACATTTACCATCAATTCTTACGACAATCCAAGTGTTTGGTAACAGAGTATCGTCAAGTTCATAGCTTTTTACATACTCAAAAGAACTCTTAGCCATTTTAGAAATATGTATATTTGTATTAATAAACCTTATGGATTTTAACCTATTCCTAAACATTAATAGTCACTTTTAACAAACTTTTATAAACACACAACTTTTAAATAATGATTCCGCAAAAATAATTAAGGTTTGTATCACCCAACAAAAACTTAACGAGAGCAATTCAACAGAAACGTTAAACATAAATAGTATAAAAAAATCTCTCCAGTAAAAACACAGATTAAGTAGAACTAGAAGTAAATAACAACCGTATGCTTAATGGGGAACCTTAAGTTGGCGGGGGGAAATTAATTTTTTGCACTTTTTTTTGGCTCTATCAACTGTTCGTTAACTGTTCTTCATTGTTCTATCAAAAAAATTTTTTGTTCGTTCTTATTTATTTTTTTTTAATTATAAAAAAATTTACCCTCAATTTGGCACGAACTATAGATATTTTGATATTTTTTTGTTTTTTCTAATAGTTTAGAACTATTCAATAACTGTTCGTTCAAAATAAACAACTGTTCGGCTTTCATTATCCTGTAATTTAATAATAATTAACTTTTTTTTATAAATCTTAATTAAATGTTATTGCGCATGCGCAGTATCAATGCGCATAGTTCTCATAAATTATGCGCGGCCTATTTGAATTCGATTCAAAGAGACAACACAACAATAACAGCAACAACAACAAAATCATCATCATCATCATCATCATCTATTAGTACCAGGAGGATAATTTACTAATTAGAAACCTTGAACAAAATTCTTAGAAATCGTTTGATAGCTAGATAATAATTAAAACGCAAAATATCAATAAAGGTATATTTTCTCAAATTTAAATACTTAATGTAAAAAAGCCAGCCACATTATCTGCCTCCAATAGCTTGACAGACCTAGCGAGCCTGTTCACTAGGTCTGTCAAATTGACTTGCTGTCATAATAATAATTAATAATTAAAAATATTGACTGAGAATGAAAAAGAAATTGGTTCTAGAATATATTGTATCAATATATAAATATATATAGGTCTACCAGGATCTGATGGCAAAAAGGGAAAAAATAAATTGACGCTAGCAATACCGGGGAAATTGGAGTAAAACGTTTTGATACTTTATTTCCATTATATCGGCTGATTGTGTGTGATACATGCAAATATAAAAATTTATCCAATGATCAAGGATAATATTTGAAAATTTTACTGTGGCGAATGTGGGGTTTGAAATTTAGATGAAAACTCCAATTACTCCGTTCATGAGTTTATTCATTAATTATAGGCTATTAGAACTGAACTAGAAATGGTTCCAAATTCTGCACATCCATAAAAAAGTCTTTATATGAAGGAGAAGACGCAGTATTTAATATAAACCTATCCTTCTGCATCTCAAGTAACTGATCTTGTTCTATGAACTGATTTTCAATTTTTATTACATGTTCACAAGATTTTCGCCATTCATCGATCCCTACTTGAGAGTAAGCTTCTTAAATCATTTCTCTGTTAATAGTTTTATATCACTTGCAGGTCTATTGACGTTTTTACCCGCAAGTTTTTGTTTCATTAGTCCCCAGATTAATTCTATGGGGTTTAACGTACAATGTTATGGTGGGAGCCTCAAAACTTCGTGGCCGTGTGATTTAAAAATCTCATCTATCTGATATTTAGTTTTTTTTTCAATTCGAAATCAAATCTATCCAATTTATTTTTTTTGCCACCTTTCCTGTTTTTACCGGGCGTACTAAATACGCCCTTATTAGATCAGCCTTCGGCAACAATTCATCTTAAGGTAGTATTAGAAACCCCTGAAATAAACCAAAGTTTATATAAGTACATAATATAATACACAACAAAATCCAATAAACCAAAGTATCAAGACGTGTCATTTCTACTAACCACTCAATGTGCAAGTGACATGGGCTCAATATCGATGATTGTGTATGTTCTGCACCTTGTTGATCAAGTATTCTTTGATAAACATTGAAAACAATATTTCTTGCTTGCGATCGAAGAGGTTTTTTCGACATTTTCACCACTTTTTAAAGTAAATTTGAAGCCAAACCAAAAACAATTCCTCGAAATTTCAGATGACAGATGAAATTTTTTTTTGTTGCCACATGCAAATCGCTAAGTTTTAAACTTTTTTTTGCCATCAGATTCTGGTAGACCTATAGTTTGCATGGGACTAATCCTTTTCTATTTTTCTCAATCAATATATTTAATCAGGAATGTTAAAAGAATGGATAAGTACAAGAAATACGACTTTAGATGTTAAGAAAGAGTTCATTTTGTTTGTATAAAATAACAAAATATAAATGAAAGTAAAAACCGGGTGATGATGATGATTTTGTTGTTGTTGCTGTTATTGTTGTGTTGTCTCTTTGAATCGAATTCAAATAGGCCGCGCATAATTTATGAGAACTATGCGCATTGATACTGCGCATGCGCAATAACATTTAATTAAGATTTATAAAAAAAAGTTAATTATTATTAAATTACAGGATAATGAAAGCCGAACAGTTGTTTATTTTGAACGAACAGTCATTGAATAGTTCTAAACTATTAGAAAAAACAAAAAAATATCAAAATATTTATAGTTCGTGCCAAATTGAGGGTCAATTTTTTAATAATTAAAAAAAATATAACGAACAAAAAATTTTTTTGATAGAACAATGAAGAACAGTTAACGAACAGTTGATAGAGCCAAAAAAAAGTACAAAAAATTAATTTCCCCCCGCCAACTTAAGGTTCCCTGCTTAATGCTATGCGTGGAGTGGCCAATGGCCATGCGCAATAAAGTTAATCAAAGTCACAAAATAGAAAAACCAAACCAAAGATATCCAAAATTCATAATAGTGTGTATTAAGATTAGAGAAGCACTCTCATTGAAACTAAATTAGCATTTTAGAGACATTGAGTGCAATCACAAATAATTACAATACTGATATACAAATTGAAAAAAGGAGATCTATACGAACTGTGATCCAAGTTAGACTACTAAAATTTTGTATAAGATTTTTTTTAAATGACATTGTGTTGAAACTATAATGTTTGTAATTTAGTTTGAGATCCAATATTTGATTGTTGTTTTTTATTACGACCCCTATTGGTAGGCTAATCGACGCGATCGGACAGATCCTGCTAAACTACAGACGTACAGGGAAGTGTCTAGAAAGGGACTTTATTAACTTAAGCTTGATTTCCCCCTCCGAGCCCAGACTACAGAAATATCCTCATAACATTTATGGGATAGTCGGAGCCCACGTTACCTCTTGCGTCTTTTTGATATAAACTAAGGATATTATTATATTTCTAGGAACATACAGTCACTCTAATCACGTCCATCTTGTAGAAGATGTAACGACGAACTAAATAGTGAATACTAATGAGACCGCCATGTGTGGATGCCGGATCACGGATGGCTACTACTCTTGAAGTCTCGACTCGTAAAATGCCAATATTCATATTTCACGGCGACAGGCGATGTCTCGACGGGTAGCCTTGCTATAAAAGTCTGGTCAGGAGCCGGCTTTAGAGTTTAGACTTATTGACATATATGATATAATATGACATTCGTCTCGATGACTCATGTTTGGAAAATCACTTGGATTGACATTTGTCATCAATAATTTTTAATTAAGAGATATTTTTATCATTTATGTTACACAGAAGTCGCCACTAGCCATTATAAATAAAGTGAAGTGAATTGATATTTTTATGTTTCATCACAGTTGCGAATAATATTAATATTTTTCATATATTTACGATTAAAAGATTTAAGCCCATTACTGATCAGAAATCAGAACTAAAAAAAAAATAACGAGTCGTTTTTAAGGTGCAAAAATCAACGAGTTATTGAATTTATGAAACTGCTAAAAGAGAGAAATATTAAACCTATATATTACGTGAGGCTATAAACAAACTGCTTTTCAGTATAGTGAATCGTATTTGAATATGGAAAACATATATAGCAATCCTATCAGGCAGAAGATTAACAAAATATTTGACAGCCACGTAATAGCAGACAATACTGACGCACTGTATACAATTTCTGGACTATGCTCCTCTGATTCTGCCTATATGAGAAGAACATTAGTAAATGAAATTGAAAAAAAAGATTTACAAGTAAACAAAGCTATTCTGACGGAGTATGGTAAAGTAAAAGACAAATTAAATTTGTTTCTCAAGTCTTTGAGAACTTTAGATGTTGCAGTTAAAGATATGTCTAATAGACTAAACGAATCTAAAACAAAAACACATCATATTATTGTCCAAACTACTAAATTAAATGACGAAAGAAAAAAAACAAGAAAGAAACTTATGTGGGCTACTGCTTTTGTTGATAATTTTCAAGTATCGCCAGAACTCCATCAATACCTTTATAACACCTCAACAATGTCAACAAACTTTTTTAACTCTTTATCCCATATTGAGAAATTGCAAGACAACTGCAAATCTCTTATCAAATGTTGGTACCAAACACCGGCTTTTGATATCATGGAAATAATAGGGCTCCAACAAGAAGCTGCAATAGAAAAATTATACCATTGGACTATTGGTGCATGCCTCGTTGTTGATTCTCCTAAAAATCCTTTAATTCCTAAGGCATTAGTTAAGTTTGAAAATAGACAAGTTTTATTTACCAATATAGTTGATGAATACTGCAATGCTAGGAAAGGTGTTGTTGTTCAGCTCTTTATTGATGCCTTAACAAAAGGAACTGATGGATCTAAACCCATTGAGTTTTATGCCAATGAACCGAAAAGGTACATTGGTGACATTATGGCTTGGGTATATCAAATTCTTCCAGTGGAAAAAGAATATTTAAATACATTATTTAAACACTGTTCCATCCCTGATAAGCAAATTAAAATAGTTGAAGCACTGACAAACATTATGGAGGCTTTATGTCCTTTGTTAAAAGTAAGAGCTGAACTAATACTGAAGCCAGATAAAGATCCATTAACACTTTGGTCTATAACTAATTTAATAACATATTACAAGAATACAATAGAGGCCCATATTAAGAAAGGGCATTTAGTTGACATTTTTGATGAACTTTTGAAAAAGAGTTCAGATGCTTTCTTGGTTACCTTAGACAATAAAATGCAAAAGGAACTAAGTCATGGTGTTAAAGCCCCTCCACAAGATTTGAATCCATCTATAGTAGTGACAGATTTGGTTGCTTTCCTAAGAAGTTTAATGAATGTCACTAGTAATATTAATCATTCTGACAAGAAGATGATTATTGCACATATTTTAGAACCACTTCTTCATGCGATTAATGAAACTGCCTGTCATTTAAGTTCTACAGATATGGCAGTGTATATGTTAAACTGTATCTATCACATTCAATGCACACTTTCCCTGTATACAATTCTTGATGAATATAATGAGAGACTGCAGGCTCAGTCAGAGGCTCAAATTGATACATTAACATCTGAACAAGCTAGTTTTTTAGTTGCCAATTTAAACATGGGACCAATTTACACAATACTACAGGAAAAAATAAATGGGCCACTTTCAGCTATTCCCGGTATGGATTCTGCATCACTCCGGGCATTTCTGAATAAATTTGATATGTTTTTAGTTGCACCAGATTCATATATATTGCCCCAATTAAACTTATTGCTTAGTCATACATACAAAACCTTGATTAAAAAAAGAGCCTTTGAAGTGGTATTGGCTATTTATGAACAATTGTATACTGCTATACATGATCAAAATAATGGGTATGGAGATGCACTGACAATTATTCGTCGAACACCAAGTGAAGTTAAAAACTTATTAACATAATTTTTAATTTAATAGTTCTTTAATTAAGTCAAATTACTCTTTCTTATTTATTTGTTATCCATATTTTAACAATCAAATGGAAGAATTAATAAATGTTAATAAATAGTTGTTGGTTTTTTAAATCCACCACAAATAAAAAAAACAGTGCATATCTGTGAAATTGAAAATAGTATCAAAAGTATATTATATAATGTACGGACTAATGGGTTTGCCTCAAATCATGATATTCCTCTGCCTATCGCCGCCCAAAACTGCTGTGTGAGTGTGAGTGAATTAAAGGGGGAAATAAGATGACCATGGTTTTTTAGGGCGTTATTCAAGAAACAAAAACGCACCATTCGCGACGCAAGATGCGACGAAGACGCGCCCCACTATTCCTCCTAACCGTTTATAGTATATGTGTGCAAGCTTCCGTCAATGTATCAGTGTTATCGGTACATACGCACACTACAATGAATAGTCAAATTTATAGACTAATCAGGAGAGAGTGTCATGGTCAAAGTGAAACATGCTCTACTTCAATTTTGTATTTTTTAACCAACTACAAGGAAAGATTATGTTTTTTATTTTTAGGTGTGGATATTTAAGTGATTATTAGTAAATATACGATAACATTGCCATTTTTATGATTATATTTAATAATTCTAGACATAAATGAAATACGTGCAAAAGATTTACTGAACTTTATTAAGAAATGAAAATCGTCAATCACTCGTTTCAGAAATATCTGATTCAGAGGCTGAGGCTCACCGACATTTATAATAAAACTAAAATCAAGATCACAGTGTCTCATGTATTCGTCTTCTATTTGTTCCACGATCTGACAAGTATTGAACCAGGCATCTTTATTTACTCGATCAAATGCTTTATTTACAATGAACATAATATAAGTGTATTTTTTATTGATATTGCGGCTAGCAACGTCGTTTTTAGAATACCCCAAATGTTTTAGATCGGGTTTAACTCTGGATGATAAGGAGCCAACCAAAGCACTGTGAATCCATGTTCTTTCAATAACTCGTCAACTTTGTAGTTGCGGTAGTTTTCTTTGTTTTAATATAAGAGTTCAGGTTTTTGAAGTACTTCTTTAGGCGCGTTATGAAAAATTTAAGAGTGAAATTTTACAATGCGCGCGTTGGAATAGACATCTACAAGTAAAAAGAATAGAAATCTAAGTTCGTATGCCAACAATTTTGAATACCATAATGACATTTGTCATTTACCTTTTAAACAAATAAAGGAGTTTTAATTATTTTCAAAAATTTAGCATTTTAATTATAATAGAAGTGATTTAAATTGAATATTTAAACAATATAATTAATATTTGTGAAAAACTTGCTCATCAACTTCCTAAGTGCTTCAATAAATTGAGGTTAACTATCCTATTATTATTATTATTATGAGTAATGTTTTGATTAAAAATTAACCAATTGTTTAATAAAATGTAATTTTCTGATTTTATCTAAAATATAAGGAAAAGAGACAAAAAACAATTGATGAATCAGTGTAACTCACTAAATTGAATACAAAAAAAGAGTTTTCATCTTATCGCTGTGAAACATCAAAAACTGGAGGTGGAACAAAGCCAAAGGATTTTACATATCTAGGAACTCTACGCGCGTACATAAGTACAGACCCTCTTTTGGTAGCTAGTACTATAATAATTTAATGTTTACTTACTTCAAGAAAGTAATGTAAATGTAAATGAAGTCTGTATATTGAGTCGTTGTTCCAAACTGACGTTCTTTCTTTGCTATGTCAGTTTTAGTAACTGTGCCGCTCTTAACTACTATTACATACCTCTCCACTACTCGAATTTAAAAAAAATTTAAGTAGGCAACTTTCGTAACAACTTTTCGCAACATAGGAAGTAAATTACTCGTGTGCACGAACCCACGACTTAGAGATGTTAACAAAAGAGCAAAAAGACCAAATCTCCTGGAAAATAATAATACTGATAAAGTACTAGACCCTGAATCTCGATATATGGAGAATGTTTTTTTTTTTTTTTTTTCTTCCCCCCCCCCCCCCCCGGGGGGGGGGGGGGTTTTCCCCCCCCCCCCCCCCCCCTCCCCCCCGGGGGGGGGTGGGGGGGGGGTTAATCCAAAAACAAAAAAAAAAAAAAAAAAATTTTTTCCCCCCCCCCCCCCCCCCCCCCCCCCCCCCCCCCCCCCCCCCCCCCGGGCCCCCCCCCCCCCCCCCCCCCCCCCCCCCCCCCCCCCCCCCCCCCCCCCCCCCCCCCCCCCCCCCCCCGGGGGGGGGAAAAAAAAAAAAACCCCCCCCCCCAACAAAAAAAAAAAAAAAAAAAAATAGTTAAAGTACCTACTAGTATCGTAGTTGTTTTGCACTTTACGGTTATATTCTAGGCAAACGATTCTGTTTTCATATCATAAAAATCTGATTAATATAAATATGATTTTATAATCTTAATTTAAAACAAATTCTAACTGTGTTTCTATGTATTGTCTTCTGTTTCTTTACAAAAAATAGAGGTTCATCGTAGAGGGTAGATGAAAATTAAGGGTTGTATGTATTTTTATATGCTGTATCATAAAAAAATAAAAACAAAAAAATTTGTCTAAAAAATAAATAAAAAAAAATTGGTGTAGACACCCCTTATCACTTAGGGGTTTGAAAGATAGATAGTAGCCGATTCTCAGACTCGGTCATAAGAATCGGTCGAGCCGTTTCGGAGGAGTATGGGAACGAATATTTGGACACGAGAATTTTATAGATATAGATTAAGCGTGAAGAAAGGATAGTTATGTTGCCATGGTTACAAGCTTTCCAAGCTTATAACTATGGCAAGGAGGAATAAAAATTACATTACTCAAGTGTTTTTAGAACCCGGAAGAGATATTTATTGAGATAATTTCGTTTTATTAAGATAATTAATTTTCAGAGGATTATTTTTATTTAAGAATTAATTACCCGTAACGTTTGCGATTCTCAAATGACGCAAATGTTTCAATTAAAAATTTTAATCGTTGATTCAGTTAATATTCGCATTCTGTACAATTTTAGCATTTAATGCTAAACAGATGTTAATAAAGCTTTATTTAAAGAAATATATAAAAAATAAATTTTGACTTAAATGTATTAAGAAAATTCAGGTGAAGGCCAGAAACACTAATAATTAAACTAATTCTCTTCTCTCTTGCCATTCCACAACTGAGCGTTTTTACACATTTTGCCGCATTATGAAAGCAGCAGCTGCCCACAGAAGTAATTCGGAACCAATTCCACTTAAGGTCCTTCAAGAAAAGAACCTACCTAACCAACTCTTACAATGTGTGTCCACGCCCGTATGCCCCCATCTTTATCTACATAATTCTACTGTATATGTCAATGAACTCTTCTTAAACGGCTGTACAGATTTAAATGCATTTTTTTGTATGCGTTTGGGTGGTTAAGATTCACAAATTAGCCCGGCAGATGGCGCTATAGTTGGTATCTAGGCTATTTATCTATACAGCAAACAAACAGCTGGTATATATATAAATTTTCTGTGCATGTGTTCTTAATGAAACTCCTAAACGGCTGGACAGATTTTGTTAAAATTGAAAATTAATGACTCGGTTTCTTGGAAACCCTCTGAATCAGTTTTAATAACATTTGATGGGCAAGTTTTACCAAAAAGGATTTTCATGTGCTATAATGCTCTTCCAGTAGAGATATGTATATGTTTATCCTACGATACAATGATATAAATGCTGCCGTTATGGTCATATCATCATATCAATGTCGTTCTAAGACACAAATATGTTAAAACTGAGGAGGTCAACATGCAGGTGTATCATGTGACAGGTCAGATGAAGATCCTCTGTACTGTGTAATGTGTGAAGTCGAAGGGTCCCATTCAGCGAAAGATAAGTCATGTCCAGAATTTGTGAGACAGGCAGGAATCAAAGTTAAAATGGCTCAGAGCTGCATGTCTTATGTTGAAGCCGGTAAAAATTTTCCTTCTGTAAAGCATTCATACGCAGATGCATTAAGTTCAACAATTCGGGAAGTTCCAAATATTCTTCCACAGCGAAGTCTGTATCTCGAAATAATTCTACTAATCCCTCATATAAAAAGACAGTATTCTTAAAACCTCGCTCTCCTCCTAAACCTCGACATGTTTATGATCGTGTTGCTCATAATAATGTATTAAAAGACTTCCAAGTTCCAGAACCTAAAAATAGCAGTGCTCTGGTTGGTCACAAAAATAAAGAGGAAGAAAAATCTGATGTCTTAGAAATGATTAACTACTTTAATAAACTCTAAACTTACTGAAACCGTCCCACGTTGCCTCTATTAATGAAAAAGTAAAATCAATTACTGTTATTAAAAATAATGGATTGCAAGATAATTCAATGGAATTGCAAGAGTGTTGTTCCAAAGAAACATCATAAATCATTAAATATATTTGATAAATAAACAAAAACAACAATTTCTTTATTAATCTCTAATGATGCCATTAATATTGTCGGCATGAAAATTGATATTTCTTCGTATTGTTGATAGTAATATTTGCGAGTGTGGAGAAGATATTGGTGACCTCGACCATATTTTCTTTTCTTGTTCCCAATATGACCGCACCTCCTTTCTGAATTCCTTATAATTACTTCATGTTCCGTTTCTGACTAAAATCTCCTGCCTTTTGCTTTATCCTTTATTGTATTATAATGTATTATCTTCTTTCATAATCAATAATAATATTAATATGTTTGTGTACATATTTTGTTTTAACTTATGTAATGTATGTAAGCTTATCCCTTTATTTCCTTTTGATGTCTTTGTTTTTTTTCTCGCATGTAATTTTCCAACCTTTTACTTGAAACTGGCATAAAACTAAAACTATTGCCATAATATTTTTTAAAAAAGTGGAGTTACGTATTAATTATAAAACTAATTAAATGGTTGAAAAATCTAAAAAAATATATTTTCAGCAACTTCTCAACTAAGTACACATGCAAAATAAAAATGGAAAATGAAAATATATTTCTTAAAGAACT